ATTCTTACTGGTAGCCCCACCCATCGGCAAACGCACTCGCCAAACCGCAGGGTGCTACGGCGACATGCGGCTCACTGCTGCGTGAATTTACCACCAAAGGGGCGGTGACTTCTTTCCTTGTGTGTGAATGAATGGGCTGCCTGACGTGATGCATGGAGACGTGCAGCCCCCCCCCCCCCCGCAACCCCCCCCACCCACCCTGCACATGCAGTATTGTGGAATGTTTTATAGTTACATAGTTACATAGTTATATAGTTACATAGTTACATAGTTATATAGTTACATAGTTATATAGTTACATAGTTACATATAGTTACATAGTTATATAGTTACATAGTTACATAGTTATATAGTTACAGAGTTACATAGTTACATAGTTACATAGTTACATTTAGTTACATAGTTATATAGTTATATAGTTACATAGTTATATAGTTACATAGTTACATAGTTATATAGTTACATAGTTACATAGTTACATAGTTATATAGTTACATAGTTACAGTTAAATATATCTGCTTTCTCTGTCCAAGCGCAGGCTGGGGGAGGGACAAGACCTGTAAGTATTACTTCATTGCAGCAGAGGGAAATGTGGTCTCCTGCCCTGCCAGCCTTGGCAGAGCTGTGTAAATCTCAGGACTGGATGGACGGGAATACAAATCCTCTGGCGGTTGAAGCGCCCCCCCCCCCCGGTCTGGATTTAGCTGCTCAGATTTAAGTAGAGCTCCGGCTGTACCGGCTTCTGTATACAGGAGAACTCGTTCCGTATTCCGCTGAATATTTCATCACTCGGCCGCGATATAAATATTTCCTTCTATATTCACACTCATTTGTCCGCGTTGTGTCAGGACGACCCCCGGTGATGTCAGGCGCGGTATGGGGCTGTACCCGGCGGGTGATTCCACTCGCTGTATGACGGTCATGTGACCGCAGTCCGGGAATCTCTGAAGACCATCGCCTCCGGCCAATCCAATCAATGAGTTTACTTTTTGGGGTTTTATTTTTTCTGCGCAATTCATACCGCGGGGCTCATTATATACAGATCATCCTGCAGCCCGCCCTTCCGGTGCCGAGACCGAGAGAGGAGAGAGAGGGGGGGGACAGAGAAAGAGGGGAGGGGGGTAGAGGGCGGCAGAGAGAGAGAGGAGAGAGAGAGAAGCAGAGAGAGAGAGAGAGAGAGGAGGGGGGCAGAAAGAGAGACGAGGGTGGAGAGAGGGGGGAGAGAGAGAGAAAAAGACGAGGGGAGAGAGAGGCGAGGGGGGAGAGAGGGGGTGAGAGAGAGAGGGGTGAGAGAGAGAGGGGGAGACAAGGGGAGAGAGGGAGGGGGGGAGAGAGATAGAGAAAGGAGAGAGAGAAGAAGAGAGAGAGGAGAGGCGGGGGGCAGAGAGAGAGACAAGGGGAGAGAGAGAGAAGGGGCAGAGAGAGGGGAGAGAGAGAGGGGAGACAATGGGAGAGAGAGAGGGAGGGCAGAGAGAGAGGAGGGAGAGAGAGGAGCGAGAGGGGGGGAGAGAGAGGGGGAGGAGAGGAGCGAGAGGGGGAGAGGGAGAGAGAGGGGTTCTTACCAGTCTGTGGGATCAGGAGGATAGGGCAGCACAGCGGCTAATTGGTTAGCACATCCGCCTGGCAGTACTCGGGTCGTTGGTTCGAATCCCAACCACGGCACCACCTGCCTGGAGTTTGCATGTTCTCCTTGTGTGGTTTTCCTCCAGGAACTCCGGTTTCCTCCCACAATCCAAAGACATGCTGGTAGGTGAAATGTCTCCTGTCAAAATTGTCCCTAGTATGTGTATGTATGAATCTGAGTTAGGGATCTTAGATTGTATTCTCCTCGGGGGCGGGGACTGATGTGAATGTACAATATATATGTAAAGCACTGTACTAGGGTCATTGGTTCGAATCCCACCCACGGCACCACCTGCCTGGAGTTTGCATGTTCTCCCTGTGCCTGCGTGAGTTTCCTTTGGCTACTCCAGTTTCCTCTCACACTCCAAAGACATGCTGGGAGGTGAACATACCAATACCATTGTATGTATGAATGTTAGTTTTGCCGTGCATTTGAATGACACGCATCAGTTACCATTTAGGCTGCGTTCGCATCTGCCTGTTTCTGAACACGCAGCGACCTTCACGGAAAAAGGTGCGCTTTGCTGTGCATTCCAGAAACACACTGCAAACCCGTATTGCGCTTACATCTCCATGACGGCAACGCAAGGGCGATACCTTTTTGCAGCACGTTTCCAAAATGCGTGGCAAAGCGTGCGTTTTTCTGTATGTTTGGAAATGCGCAGATGCTAATGCTGTGTTTAATGGCACCGGTTGGCAGACAATCACGGTTGGCAGTCTCGTGCTTTGCCACGCATTTGTCCTGCACCAAAACGCGCGCTGGAAAGGTTCGGGAGATACTTTGGGGTGTCTGTCACTCATTGGGCACCCGATTCCTGTGAATGGGCCGCCTTATGTATGACGCACATTTACATGCAGAAAAAAAAAGGAGGCGCAAGTGGCAACGCATGTTTCCGTTACACTCAGGTGTAAATGGAATGGACTAGGCAGGAAAGATGACCAGGGAGGAGAGGGGAGGGTTTTTTTTTAGGCAGGAAAGATGACCAGGGAGAAGAGGTGAGGATTTTTGTAGGCAGGAAAGATGACCAGGGAGGAGAGATGAGGGTATTTTTTAGGCAGGAAAGATGACCAGGGAGGAGAGGTGAGGGTTTTTGTAGGCAGGAAAGATGACCGGGGAGGAGAGGTGAGGGTTTGTTTAGGCAGAAAAAGATGACCAGGGAGGAGAGGTGAGGGTTTTTTTTTAGGCAGGAAAGATGACAAGGGAGGAGAGGTGAGGGTTTTTGTAGGCAGGAATGACCAGGGAGGAGAGGGTGAGGGTTTTTTTTAGGCAGGAAAGATGAGCAGGGAGGAGAGGGAAGGGTTTTTTTAGGCAGGAATGACCAAGGAGGAGAGGTGAGGGTTTTTTTAGGCAGGAAAGATGAGCAGGGAGGAGAGGGGAGGGTTTTTTTAGGCAGGAATGACCAAGGAGGAGAGGTGAGGGTTTTTGTAGGCAGGAAAGATGACCAGGGAGGAGAGGTGAGAGTTTTTGTAGGTAGGAAAGATGACCAGGGAGGAGAGGTGAGAGTTTTTGTAGGTAGGAAAGATGACCAGGGAGGAGAGGTGAGGGTTTTTGTAGGCAGGAAAGATGACCAGGGAGGAGAGGTGAGGGTTTTTTAGGCTCCTAATGCTGAATCTTCAGATTACACCACAGGCCCGGATGTGACCGGTTCTCTTTAAGACTCCACAGCCCAGGCGGCACTAGTAGGAGACGAGCGCGGGACGCAGGTCAGCGCAGAAAAGGGAACGCCAACAACCCGATTGATCACACCGACCGCCGTCCACCCCAGTGTGTCTCCCCGTCTGTCTCTCCTCCTCTGTCAATATTCCCACAAATTACATTCCTGGGAGCTTTTAGTGGCCGCAAATCGCTGAATTCCCCGGAAGCCGAAATTCGCCAATAATTCCGTAAATTCCATTAAGGGAAAAAAAAAACAGACAGACAGACCGACCATTGTAGACAGATCCTTGAACCCTCAACCTTCGGATCTACCTGCACCCCAGGATATGTGGGCGAGACTCCCCATTTCTGAATCTGCAGTTATTTCTTTTTCTGGGGTCTTCACTTTCTGGAACGTGTCAGTCTGCCCGAATATCTGCCGAAACACGACACTGTCAGATCTACAAATGTGGAGTTAAAAAAATTGTGAAGTTTAAAAAGTTCAGTAAATAAATGCTTTTGCTTTAAAAAAAGGACAATTTTTATTTATTACATAGTTATCCATATTTATATAGTGCTGATGATTTACACATCGCTTTGCATACAGTACATTACATCAGTCCCTGCCCCCAAGGAGCTTACAAGCTGAGGTCCCCACTAGAATGAAAATAATATTAATAATATTTAATAAAGAAAAACAACTTAAAAATATAAATTATTATTTATTATTTTTTCATATTATTGTTAAGACCTCATAGAAAAGTTTTGCTAATAATAATATAAAAAAAAATAAATAAATAAATAAATAAAATAATATAAATTTCATTATTAATATAATTAATATTTATATTAATTATTATTATTATTAGGACTGCTAATACAACTCTCGTTTTGGACACACTTTATATTAAAAATCCATCACACTGTAATGCTGCACCAATCACCACAGAGAGAGGTCTATAGATGAGGCCCCATCAAAATATTCCTCTGGTGCCTTAACAAGAACAATAATATAAAAAATTATAAAAACAAAAATATAAAAATACAAAAAAAAGTTATTCTAAGTATGATGCTGATGATGAATAATAATATAAAATAATTAAAATAACATATAAATACATATTAATGTTTTTATTATTATAGGTATTATTATTATTATTGCTAATACAACTCTTGTTATAGATACTTTGTATTAGGATCAGTGACACCTATTGTCGCTGTACCAAGTGCCACAGACAGAGGTCGCTGGAGGGGCCCCATCAGAATTTTGCTATGGGGCCCTAACAATAACGTAAAAAAAATAAATACTGATATTAATTATAATGATAATTATCTAAACATACTAAAAAAAAATTAGTATAAATTATTGTATTAACAATCATAATTATTATTAATAAATACCTTAGATTGTACGCCCCTCGGGGGCGGGGACTGATGTGACTGTACAATATATATGTAAAGCACTGCGTAAATTTATGGTGCTGTATAAGTACCTGAAATAAATAATTGCAATAATATTAATGATAATATAAAATGAATAAAAAGAAAATTAGTATAAATTATTATTATTACTAACACACATTCTTGTTGTAGACATGCTTTATATTATAATTAGTGACACATATCAAAATTTTGCAATGGACCCCTTATAATAACAATATATAAAAATAATAATAATGATCATATAAAAAATAATTTTTAAAAAAAATGATAAATTATTATTATTATTAAGTAGTTCTGAAGCAGGGGTGTCAGACCGGTGGCCCTCCAGTTGTTGCAAAACTACAAGTCCCATGAGGCATTGCAGGGCTGACAGTTACAAGCATGACTCCCAAAGGCAGAGGCATGATTGGACTTGTAGTTTGGCAGCTGGAGGGCACCAGTTTGACACCCCTGCTTCAGAACTACAAGTCCCATGAGGCATTTCAGGGCTGACAGTTACAAGCATGACTCCCAAAGGCAGAGGCATGATGGGACTTGTAGTTCTGAAGCAGGGGTGTCAAACTGGTGGCCCTCCAGCTGCCAAACTACAAGTCCCATCATGCCTCTGCCTTTGGGAGTCATGCTTGTAACTGTCAGCCCAGCAATGCCTCATGGGACTTGTAGTTCTGAAGCAGAGGTGTCAGACCGGTGGCCCTCCAGCTGTTGTGAAACTACAAGTCCCATCATGCCTCATGCCTTACAAGTCATACTGGTAACTCTCAGCCCTGCAAAGCCTCATGGAACTTGTAGTTCTGAAGCAGGGGTGTTGCAGTGGCCCTCCAGCTGTTGCCAAACTACAAGTCCCATGAGGCATTGCAAGATGGACAGTTACAAGCATGACTCCCAAAGACAGAGGCATGATGGGACTTGTAGTTTGGCAACATCTGGAGGTGCCGCCAGTGTCCCCTGTGTTCTATGGGAAGATGGCGCGATCGCGCAGTGGACGGCGAGGACGGACGCGACTTTCAGATTTGTTGGGAAATATTGAAGCCAATAATATCCGCGTTTTCCGTCTCGCGGGGTGACATTGGAGGATCGGCGGGGAGAGCTCACACCATTCTTTGCCGGAAGGGATTGGGGGAGGGGGAGATTAATTTGGAAGACGCCTCATGGCGCTGGGTGACGGCGGGAGGCGTAATCGCGACTTTAATGTTCTGGCCGGACGCACACACAGCCTGATTAATCCGGTTATCACCCGCCAAGTCCAATCCGATTAGCAGCTCGCAATGTGATCATCTGATAGACGGCGAATCGGCTCTTCCTCCGCCATATGTCCCGCCGATCCCACCCGTCCTCAACGCTTCCTCTGCCAACATGGGAGAGGCGGAGACTGACAACTCAATCATCGGAAACGTCTCTTCATGACAACAAAATTCAACATTTACAGGAAAAAAAATTAAAAGAAAGTTTACTCTACAAATAACAAACAGCCGGAGGCAACGAAGGGTTAACGATCGAATTCCTGAAGATGAACTCCGGCCACAAAATCATTCAATATTCCTCACCAGCTGCTTCCCGTCCACCGAATACCTCTGAAATCCCAGATATTACCTTGTAAAAGTAGCAGTGACATCATCAGTGGGCTGTGCATAGCCTGTGCAGAGAGCAGAGCTGTGGGAGGGGCCCAGCAGGCTCCACCCACTACAGAAAACTACAGGAGGAAGCATTTCCTCAGTCTCTCCTCCCCCAGTGATCAGACTGTACATTGTAACTTTGTAGAAGGAGGAGGAAGCATTTCCTCAGTCTCCCCTCCCCCAGTGATCAGACTGTACATTGTAACTTTGTAGAAGGAGGAGGAGGCATTTCCTCAGTCTCCCCTCCCCCTGTGATCAGACCGTACATTGTAACTTTGTAGCCAGGGGCCCAGGATTTCCTTGATTGTGTCATCTCCAAGCCGCCATCTTGGACCAGGAAGCAGATGGTGACTCTAAATGATGCCTGAACAAAGATGGTGCCGCAGATGAAGACGTTGTCAGGGGGAGTCGTGTGATCTCTGGGGGAGGGAATAAATACCTGGAAGGGGGACACTGACACATGGAGGGGGGGGACCCTGACACATGGATGGGGGGGACACTGACACATGGAGGGGGGGGACACTGACACATGGAGGGGGGGGGATTTACTAAAAAAAGAATCTGGTGCAGCTCTGCACAGCAACCAATCAGCTTCCGGGTTTTGTCAGAGCTTCATAGAACAAGCTGAAGCCAGAATCTGATTGGCTCCCGTGCTCAGCTGCACCAGATTCTGCCCCCCCCCCCCCCCCCCAGGTTAGTATTCCCCCCCCCCCCATGTGACCTGTACTGAGTATATCTGCTGATTGGCCGGTTTTGTGGTCGATTGGTCGCAGTAAAATGGAAATCATTTCTAACATCTAAAATCTACAATTATGGCGTGCGCCATCAGAGGCGGGAAGAGTGATACATCGGGCGCGCTGAACTGCGACCTTGAGATCCGACTGCGGGGGGGGGCCTTGACAGGTGTGTGCGCCATTATCCGTGCAGAGCGTGCGATGAGGCGCCTTCTCTCTGCCAGCGGGGCGCTCAGGCCTTTCCACGCTGCCTGCCCCCACCTTGCCACCCTCTCACGGCGTGCCACGCTGAGCCAAATACATGTGTGATAGTCCGCGGCGGGGAGGCGCTGCGGCGTGCAGGATGCGTTTCAATAACACGCGCCCTTCCTGCGGTGGTCTTTGGCAGAGGCAGATGGTCAGAGGGTAGCAGAGCGGCGGGGAGCCCTGTGAAGGCCGCCATTGACAGGATTCTGGAGGAGATGAAAGAAGGGCCAAGGAGCCGCCGGGCCGAGCCGAGCGCCGCCAAACATGCCGTCTCCTCGCCGTGTGATCGTGTAAAGGGGGGGGAAATTGATCCGCCTCACCGGTGTTGTGTACAAACAGAAGCAGGAAAACAAACCGCAGAGACAGGCGGAGAAACGGGAATACCAGGATGAAGCATGACGAGGATTCCGTGTTTCACATGGAGCCTTGAGGACCACTAAGCAGCCCATCCATTCACAAAGCTGCCGGAAGTGCACTGAAGGCATGCTAAGACGGCCCCGCAGTCAGTGTTCTCAAATGTCATTGTTAGAGAGATGGCGAATTATTCAAAAATTCGATTCGGCTGATTCGCCGAATTTGAGGAAGAAATTCGATTCGATGCGAATTTTATTCGCTACGAATTTTAACTTATAAAAAGGGTTTCTAGGCTTCAGAGAGCCTTTAAATTACTGCAGAACACACTGTACCTTTAATTTAAATGCACTTGGAGATGAGGAAGGAGAAGGAGAAGGAGAAGGATGAGAAGAAGGAGAAGGATGAGAAGAAGGAGAAGAAGGAGAAGGATGAGAAGAAGGAGAAGGATGAGAAGGAGAAGGATGAGAAGAAGGAGAAGGAGAAGGAATGAGAAGAAGGAGAAGGATGAGAAGAAGGAGAAGGATGAGAAGAAGGAGAATGAGAAGGATGAGAAGAAGGAGAAGGGATGAGGATGAGAAGAAGGAGAAGGATGAGAAGAATCCTCCGAGAAGGATGAGAAGAAGGAGAATGAGAAGGATGAGAAGAAGGGAGAAGGATGAGAAGAAGGAGAAGGATGAGAAAAAGGGTGAGAGAAGAAGGAGAAGAAGAAGGATGAGAAGAAGAAGAAGGATGAGAAGAAGGAGAAGGATGAGAAGAAGAAGAGGGATGAGAAGAAGAAGAAGGATGAGAAGAAGAAGAAGGATGAGAAGGAGAAAGGATGAGAAGAAGAAGAAGGATGAGAAGAAGGAGAAGGATGAGAAGAAGGATGAGAAGAAGAAGAAGGATGAAAATAAGAAGAATTCCAAGCCGGCAAAAAGTGTATCTGCAGAGCGCCGCTATTTCTTAGCGGAGCTCTGCAGATACACTTAGCGGAGCTCTGCAGATACACTTTTTTGCCGGCTTGGAATTCTTCTTATTTTCATCCTTTACTTCTTCTTCTTCTTCTTCATCCTCATCCTCAGAAGAAGAAGAAGAAGAGGATGAGGAAGAAGAAGAAGAAGTAGGTGAAAATAAGAAGAATTCCAAGCTGGCAAAAAGTGTATCTGCAGAGCTCGCTAAGTGTATCTGCAGAGCTCCGCTATTTCTGACAGTTCTCTGACATTCACTCCATACAGCGGTTGAAACATTTGTATCTATTTGTTTCCATAAATGGAAACAAATAGATACAATGTTTCAACCGCTGTATGGAGTGAATGTCAGAGAACTGTCAGAATAGCGGAGCTCTGCAGATACACTTTTTGCCGGCTTGGAATTCTTATTTTCATCCTACTGACTTCCTTCTTCTTCTTCATCCTCAAACCTCATGAAGAAGAAGAGGATGAGGATGAAGAAAGCTGAAGAAGAAGAAGTAGGATGAAAGAAGAATGAAACAGAAGAAGAAGAATGAAAAGAAGAATGAGAAGAAAGAAAAGATTTCTTCTTCTTCTTCTTCTCATTCTTCTTTTCATTCCTCTTCTTCTTTTCATTCTTCTTCTTCTTTTCTTTTCATTCTCTTCTTCTCATTCTTCTTTTCATTCTTCTTTTCATTCTTCTTCTTCTTTTTCATTCTTCTTTTCATTCTTCTCATTCTTCTTTTTTCATTCTTCTTCTCATTCTTCTTTTCATTCCTTCTTTTCATTCTTCTTCTTCTTCTTTTCATTCTTCTCATTCTTCTTCTCATTCTTCTTTTCATTCTTCTTCTCATTCTTGTTTTCATTCTTCTTCTTCTTTTCATTCTTCTTTTCATTCTTTCTCATTCTTCTTTTCATTCTTCTTTTCATTCTTCTCTTTCTCATTTCTTTCTTTTCTTTTCATTCTTCTTTTCATTCTTCTTTTCATGAAGAAGAAGAATGAAAAGAAGAATGAAAAGAAGAATGAAAAGAAGAATGAAAAGAAGAAGAAAAGAAGAATGAAAAGAAGAATGAGAAGAAGAATGAAAAAGAAGAAGAAGAAGGAGAATGAAAAGAAGAATGAAGAAGAAATGAAGAATGAAAAGAAGAATGAAAAGAAGAAGAAGAAGAAGAATGAAAAAGAAGAAAGAAGAAGAATGAAAAGAGAAGAAAAGAAGAATGAAAAGAAGAAGAAGAATGAAAAGAAGAAGAAGAAGAATGAAAAGAAGAATGAAAAGAAGCAGAAGAATGAAAAGAAGAAGAATGAAGAATGAAAAGAAGAATGAAAAAAGAAGAATGAGAAGAATGAAAAGATTCTTCTTCTTCTTCTTTTCATTCTTCTTTTCATTCTTCTTTTTTCATTCTTCTTCTTCTTCTTTCATTCTTCTTTTCTTTCTTCATTCTTCTTTTCATTCTTCTCATTCTTCTTCTCATTCTTCTTTTCATTCTTCTTCTCATTCTTCTTTTCATTCTTCTTTTCATTCTTCTTCATTCTTTTTTCTCTTCTCATTCTTCTTTTCATTCTTCTTTTCATTCTTCTTCTTCATTCTTTCATTCTTCTTCTTCTTTTCATTCTTCTTTTCATTCTTCTTCTCATTCTTCTTTTCATGAAGAAGAAAAGAAGAATGAGAAGAATGAAAAGAAGAATGAAAAAAAGAAGAATGAAAAGAAAGAATGAGAAGAAGAATGAAAAGAAGAATGAGAAGAATGAAAAAAATGAAGAAGAAGAATGAAAAGAAGAAGAATGAAAAAAAAAAAGAAGAATGAAAAGAAGAAGAAGAAGAATGAAAAGAAGAATGAAGAAGAATGAAAAAGAAGAATGA